TACAATAATAAACTTCGGGATCGGACAGAGGTTTTACCAGCCTTACATGGGTACCATCAACTAAACCTATAACACCGGGAATTTAAATTTTTTATAGAAATGCAATTTCGATGCATTTGATTCAGATTCATTCATATCCAATTAAATCCAACGTGGACAGATTTTTGATTTTATGGCCATTTTAATACAAAAGTATGAAAAAAATTATAATATGAAAATTATTGCACGTTTTAGAAATATTAATGACAAATGTAAAAGATTTTTTTATGAAAAGGAGCGCACAACAGGCCCGATAGTGGCCTAGGTATATTTCTTCGGATTTGATGTAGTATATGTACCTCCTATCAACCTAACCTACCTAACCTAATCACATAGAAATTAAATAAATTTCGGATAATTTGAAAAAAAAAATAATCTATGTATATCTATCTAATCTATGTCTAAAAAATTTAATCTTTTCTTGAAATTTTTAAAATTTACGGAATTTTTATATTAGCGAATAAATTTTTTTCTTCAAAATTGATGGAGCAGGTAGGGGCATTGGCCGCTTACAATTTTTTAATACGCTTTCGCATCAATTTCTCTTTCCGAATCATATACAATTTGTATATAGTCCCGAAGAAAATTTAGTTTTCTATAAAAGAAAGAATATGGGGAATATGCGTCTAACTTTTTATATAAAAAGTTTATCCGAAAGTCAGTGGATATTTAAAAAAAAATTACGACCCAAACAGTTCCAGAGATACCGAATTATTTCCAAAAATAAAAGTTTCTAAGTCACTGTGTGCCGTTCTGTATAATACATTTGAAAATAATCTGTGTGTCAAGCAAATGATATGCGGATTTAATGTTTTTGCCGAATTCCTTAAAGGTTCATATCCACCCTGGTTTCCCTCATAGGCCAAAAATCAAAAAAAGTTAGTATTTTTTTCTATGCTTTATTGCAGTAAATTTATTGATTACACTCAACATTTTTGTGAATCTAATACCCCATTTACACATACACGAAATCTAGTACTTATGAGATTTCGAGCCAAATCTACTTGATTTTAACTAGATTTCCCATACAAAACAAAATCTACTTCGTAACTAGATTTCGTTAAAATCTACTCAAAATCTAATAGTTTTTAGTGATGCAACTCTTTTTTTTCCTAAATAATACTAAAAAATACGACACTACACAAGAAAAAAGAGGAAAACAAAACAAACAAAAAAAATTAAAATGTCGACAAAATTTTTATAAATTGAAAAACATGAATGAAAAGTTAATCTAAAATAAAAGGTAATGTTATATTTAAATATCTATTTTTTTATTTTAAATGGAATTTTGATAAATATCCCATTTTTCCTTCTTATTTTTCATATCACACACATTTTCAAGAAATATTAGAAAAAATGAAATCTTCTTAAATGTCAAGAATAGTAAGTGTAAACGGACTAGATTTGGAAAAAGATTTTAAATGAAATCTACTAGATTTCGTATATGTGTAAATGGGGTATAACAAATTTTGTTGATTTTTTGTGAGATTTTATATTTGTATCCGTTGAAAGTGGAGCTATGTTCATATTACATATCGATTTTATTGTTGATTACAATGTATTGCGTCAAAACATATTTCCACACAAAAAATTGGACTCCTCCGACCAAAATTAGCGATTTCATTGACAAAAAAACAAAAGGCCCTATCTACAAAAACATTTAAATATTAAAGGTAAAAAGTCCAATTTATCCATTTTTATATACGCCATTGTTAACTATCATAATAATTGATAGGTTTCACTATTAAACAATTTGTTTATTTACTGCAAATAAATCGCGATGATAGAAACAAACTTTCCAATTTCAATAGTTTTTTGTTTCTACTGTAAAATTTTAAAAATGTTAGTTAGGGCCGTTTGCGTTTTAGGTGACAGTATATATTGTGTATATATTGTCATATAAGAAAACTTAAGTTTAATTAAAAAATTGTTTGTGTTATTGTCGCAAAAGTCTTCAAAAATCCTACAAACATTAAATTTTAAGTTATTTTCTACCAGATTAAATGACAAAAACTGCAAAAATTTAGGCCCATTAAAAAATCCCTGAAGAATACTTTTTTGACCTTTTCAAGACATAGGTTTCTTAAAAACTAATTTTTCACGTAGACTTTTAGTTATTTGGCCCTCATCTGCCCACAACTTATTATATATCAAATTGTAGATTTTTAATCACTCTTTAAATTAAAAAATATTGTGACCGCGGGTTTTTGCATATTTTCGCATATGGATGTGATTTGCATAGTCATCCTGTGAAAAATAATAAAAAAACACTAAACTTTCCTTGGAAAAGAACTACCAGCACCTAGTCAAAAGGAATTTTTCAAGTCAAAAAGGAGTAAAATATCTAAAATTAAATTTGAAATTGATGCCAAAAAGTTTGAGTATGCTGAGACAGCCAGAAAACTTGTTGAGGAGTATCCCTGGTATTACCTCCCTTAACAAAAATACACAAAATTCGAATCCATGAATGATAATTCACCCATAAGTGAATTATCGGAGGAAACAGCTAAAGCGGAAAACAAATTAGATTGCAACATACAACAAAAATATCGCGTACTGCTACAAACACAGACCTTTTAAATAGGCTCCTTTTAAGTTCAGATCCATGTATTTCTGGAGCCCGAAACTTACCAACAACGAAAAGATGTAGTTTAATTGTTTAAGTCAAGGAGTTCTAAATTTGCATAATATTTGATATATATTAATATCTTATTTCACTTTACTATCTTACATTATTTAATAATACCTCTTATAACCTATTTACACATACACGAAATCTAGTACTTATGAGATTTCGAGCCAAATCTAGTTGATTTTAACTAGATTTCCCATACAAAACAAAATCTACTTCGTAACAAGATTTCGTTAAAATCTACTCAAAATCTAATAGTTTTTAGTGATGCAACTCTTTTTTTTCCTAAATAATACTAAAAAATACGACGTAACACAAGAAAAACAAACAAAAAGAATTAAAATGTCAACAAAATTTTAAATTGAACAAGTAAGAATGTTATATTCGGCTATGCCGAATCTTATATACCCACCATCAAACCTCGTTTGACTCGAACGAAACTTACTTATGTCGAATTTCATCTATATACTCGTATATTTAGGCCAGTTATAAGCGTTAAAGTAATTTTCTGAAGGGGATCTTATATAGGGGGGTAGGGTCAATTATGGGTCGATCCTCATAAAATTTGGTAGACAGAATTTGGTTCGTATTAAATTTACTTGTGTCGAATTTCATCGCTACACTCGTATTTTTAAACCATTAATGAGCGTTGCAGTAATTTTCTGAAGGAGACCTTATATGGGGGGTAGGGTCAATCATGAACCGATCCTCATAACATTTTTTAGATAGATTTTGACTCGTATGAAAATTACTTATGTCAAATTTCATCTATATACTAGTATTTTTAAGCCAGTAATGAGCGTTAAAGTCATTTTCTGAAGGGGACCTTATATGGGGGTAGGGTCAATTATGGACCGATCCTCATAACTTTTTACATAGTGATTTTGGATCATAAGAAACTTATTTATGTCGAATTTCATCGCTATATACGTATTTTTAAACAAGTTATGGCTGTTAAAGCTGCTTTTCGAGGGGCCACTTGTATGGGGGCTATCCGAAAACGTGGACCGATATTGCCCATTTCCAATACCAAACAAACCTTACCTATAAGAAATATTTACGTGAAATTTCAACCCTCTAGCTCTTTCCATTCGGACTCTATCGTGCTTTCAACAGACAGACAGACAGACGGACGGACGGACAGACGGACAGACATGGCTAGATCGTCTTAGAATTTAATGAGGACCCAGAATATATATACTTTTGTGGGTCTATAATCAATATTTCGATGTGTTACAAACGGAATGACAAAATCAATATACCCCCCATCTTTTTTGATGGTGGGTATAAAAACATGAATAAAAAGTTTATTTAAAATAGAAGGTAATGTTATTTTTAAATATCTATTTTTTTATTATAAATAAAATGTTAATAAATATCCCATGATGAAATCTTCCTAAATGCCAAAAATAGTAAGTGTAAACGGTCTAGATTTTTAAAAAGATTTTAAATGAAATCTACTAGATTTCGTGTATGTGTAAATGTGTGGGGGTATTAGTGCATTACATAACTTTGTATAACTCTTTACTTTGAATTTTTTTCAGTGTATATTTCAATACCCCTATTATGGTTTACAACTCAACTTTAGAACAACTCAAATTATTTTTGGTATTATGAATACAACCAATTTCAGTTGTAATTGTGTTGATGTTGCTTTTTTGTCATAAAATTAAGTGAAAAGTTTATGAATTTGTGTTTTTCGTAAATGACAAAAGTATTGAACATCTTTTTATTGTATCGCTTGAAATCAATGATTAATGAAATTTAAGAAAATTAAAAAAAACTTTACTTTATTTATTTTAAAAATTTATTCTAAACAATTGAGTTGTAATTTGTTACAACTGTTTTTGATAATTTGTAATTTTTTCCAAAAACGTTGTAATAAATTTCAACTTTAAATTTTAAGTTCTTATCGATAATACCAAAGAGCAAAATTTCATCTAAAGAAGAGTTGAGTTGTAAACCATAATAGGGGCACAAATTAATTAAAATGGAATAAAAATTTACAAAAATTTTTTAAAACAAACGAATTTTCATGCTTTTTTTAAAATTCTTTAAAAAAATCTATAACCCTTCAAAGATAAACTGTCTACAGTTGTTAATATTTTTTCTTAAAAATATGGACGCTTTAAGCTCATAGGGCATGACCAATTTTGAAGACCTTGGCGTTTTTGGTTTTAGAGATATTGATTTTTGACCGCTTGTCCATATAAGGAATCCTTGATCATATTAACTGTGCAATCCTTGATCATATTAATGAACTGTATCTAATTAATCTATCATTAATACAAACTATTCTAATTTAATTACATGTTTTAAAATTTTGCAGGAAATCAAAGCTAACATCACCTCAACTATACCGCGATTTACTGTTTCAACATTATCACCTGGAGGACTATATACCTTATCAGTTTATGCATTTAATTCTAAGGGTAGATCTGATCCAACTATTCTAAGTGCTGCCATGTTGAGAATGCCTGAGAAACAACTGACGTTTGAACCAGGTAAATGTACCTAATAATTATATCTTATGGATTCTTCTATAACATAACATGAACAAATTGGAGTGCTAAATAAAGGCTTATTATACCTTTTATGAAAAGTGTGATTTAAAATTTGTATCTGTTCGATTGTGTCACTTCTTGGAACATATCGTCAATGATCCGACCATGTGAAAATTTTCGATTTTCAAACAGTCGCCATAGATACCCACGTAAAACTGTTAACAAGTCAAATGGGGATTTATTTAAAATAATGCCGATTGTAAGTGTTATAATTTCCCAGATATATGTATTTTAGTATTGACTTCATTTGGGTGATCCCCACAATTGGTAGTTCGACGATTTTTTTAACGAAAAGTACCAAAAGTACCTTTTCTCATATTAAGTTTAAACTTTAGCTGTTATAGTGTCTATGATGTACGAATTTTAGTATTTAATGCATATGGGAGGTGCCACTTCCTCTATTGGCGTTCCGCCTATATTTGTTTTAAAGATTTATACAGTACAATACTTAAGAACTCTAATTGTTATAGTTTTCAAGACTGAATTATTTTTTTTTCATTTCTGACGTACCATGCCTACTTCTAATAGTTCGCCCATTTTTCCCAAAAGTGAATGTGGACGCCAAAAATTACTTGTGCAAAGTTTGAGAACGTTAGAAGTTATAGTTTCGTAGATATAATAATCTATATATATAAAAGAGTAGCGTTACTAACTGACTGATTCATCATCGCACAGTCCAAACGGCTAAACCTAGAATAATGTAATTTTGACAGTAGATGTGTTTTTGGTTATGTAGATCCACTAAGGAGGGATTTTTGGAAATTTGTACATTTAGGGGGGGGTTAAAAAGGGGTAAAACGGGTTTTCTTAATTATCGTATCTTACTCTAACATAAATGAATGAAAAAGTACCAAAAGTCCCTTTCAGTGGATTCACTAAGGTCCCTTACATTTAAAATTTTATATTTCTATGTTCAGTATCGTAAAAATATCAAAAAGTATCATCGGAAAAACGAAAAAGTACAAAAATCTCTCTCAATAAATTCTCATTTAATAAGGACCGTGTGTCAAGTATTCCGGTTAACCATTAAAGAGAATCCAAAAGGTACCATATGAAGAATGGAAAAGTACTAAAGAGTATCCATTTACAGAATATTATTCAGTCAAGACCATGTATGTATGTTAAAATTTATGTTCCTAGGTTGAATATTTTAGAAAATTTAAAAAGTACCATTTATGAGATAAAATGTAATAAAAAGTTCTTTGATATTATAGGCAAGCAATATAAAATATATGCGGGTATTTTAAATATGTTAACGAGTTGCTGCGAAATATATTGTATATGAAAAAATTTATATTTGTCTGTAAGCTGCAATATGCAATAGCTTGTATGGGTAAATATTTTTTGCAAAAATACTACAAATATTTTGAACAGTACCATATTTTAAATATGCATATTTTTAAATATGAGGAAAATACATACATATTTATTGCAAATTAAAAAATATAAAAGCAATTACTAATATTTAAACTCTGCATTTTATTCCATAAATGTTAATTTTTGAATTTTCTAATATATTCAACCTAGGAACATAAATTTTAACATACATGGTCTTGACTGAGTAATATTTTGTAATTGGGAATTCTTTGGTACTTTTTAATTCTTCAAATTGTACTTTTTGGATTCTGTATAATGGTTAACCCGAACACATGACACACGGTCCTTATTAAAGGGCCCTTCAGACGATCACACTTTACCTACGACAAGTCTAATGAAAAAGTAAAATGAAATTCCATCCGTATGACAAAAAAGAGAATAAAAGTCGTATGATTTATATTTTTTGTGTTTACACGATTGGTATAAAACAATACCAAAGTAAGATGGAAACAGTTGTTTCAAAATTCTGACAGATCATATTACTTGTGTGCTCGTGTGAAGGGGGCTTAAGTAAGAATTTATTGAGAGGGATTTTTGTACTTTTTCGTTTTTCCGATGGCACTTTTTGATATTTTTACGATATTGAACATAGAAATATAAAATTTAATATGTAGGGACCTTAGTGAATGAGATTCTACTGAAAGGGACTATTGGTACTTTTTCATTCATCAAATTATATTTGTTTAATTGTATATAATATTGAACACAGAAACATAAAATTTTTGATTAAGTGAGAATCTATAAGAATCTATAATACTTTTTTTCAAATAGTACTTTCGAAATTTTCTAAAATGTAGAAGCTAAATGAATGAAACTAAAAATACATGCTTCTTACTAAATGCGATATTGAACGTAAAAAACTGAAACATTAAACAAATTTTTAATCAATTTTAATTTTCTATAAAAGTAAACAAAATTTTGTGTGTATTTAATTTTGGCTAGGGCAGCGAAGCAACCAGGGTATGCTAGTTTTACATATTTAAAACATATGGAAGGTGCCACGGCCATTATTGCTAGTCTGCCCATTTTTCCCTCAGGCGTTTTCGTAGATGCTAATGTTGGTTGGGTAACATTTAAGAAATCTAACTCAATGGCGGCCAAACATGCCCCTGCGGGCATTGTGTTATTCTCACTTATACACACGCAATACAAATATTCTCAGCAACAAAACAAACCCCTTCAAACATTTAGAAGACAAAACTATTGCGCATCACCCCAGACGCCACGTCAGAAACACTTCTGGACGGTTGTCAGACGAGAACGCACATTTTACAAAAACAAAATACATTGATTTCGAATTTTCGTCTTCTAGAAATACACTTTTAAGTTTCTTCCGGATGATAGTTAGAAGAGTCCATCCATTTGCTTAAACAAAAAACATTGACTGTTGAATTTTTTTCATCTGGAAGTATACGTTTTAGTGACTTCTCTATGAGAGTTGGGTGAGAACACACATTTTACAATAACAAAATACATTGTTTCCTAATTTGTATCTTCTTGATTTGTATGTTTATGTCACTTCTGGAAGACAGTTTGAAGAGTGTTCACATTAATGTTGTATTTTATTCATCTGGAAGTGTGGATTGTAGTCACTTCTGGACGATTGTCAGACGAGAGCACACATTTTACAAAAACAAAATACATTGATTTCTAGTTTTCGCCGTCTGGAAGTATACTTTTAGGTTACTTCCGGATGATAGTAAAAAGAGTACAAAAACAAAAAAATATAAATACTCCATTTTTTTAGCGTGAACGCGAAAAAAATAAAAATAAATAATGCAGAAATTTTGCTAAGTTCAGTGATGTTTTGCGTTTTGTCCAGTCATGTTCAGTTTTAATTATTCATTGTAAAACTTAAATGAGTTATTGAGTTTAATGTTCATAGAAAAATAGTGTAATTAATATATTGTAAATCTTAAGAAAAAAAAAAAAACAATATGACAGTGTTGTGTTAAAAGTAAACTGTTAATAAACATTTAAGAAGGTTTTGTTAATTGGTGAAGTTTATTAAATTAAATAAATAAAATTGAAAAGTAAGTTGTAATATTTTACATTAAAATAGTACTATATTTTAGGAATAAGTTAACAACTCTAAACGGCTTCCATTTCCATTATTTTTAAACGAAGTCTAATATGTTTAATTAAAAATGTTTTTATATAAAATTTCGTCTCTCTCTTAATTGGTTTAGGAGTTATAAGCATTTAAAGACTTTTTCAAGTTGTAAGTTTCGGCTTTCATTTGATGAATATTGCATTTTTAACCTATTTAGATTTATTTGAGTTAAATCTTAACTTTCAATATTTTTTAAACTATTAGCGCGTTTAGGTCCTTTTTCTAGATTACGTATGATCACATTGAGCTAAAATTTTATTTGTATTTCATTATCGTAACCAAATACATTAAAATTTTTACTTAAAGTATTCAAACGCTATCTGGAATCATTATATTGAAATTAATACTACTGTTTTATACATAAATTATTTTTGACTTGGGTCACTCGACACGAAATTGCCCATATAAGATATTTAATATTGAAAACAGATATTTTTAAACCCACCTTTTTTTAAATAAATACAATTTTATTAATTTTCATATAGCTTTGGATTTAATTATTCTAATTATAGGTACTTTTTTAGTTATTAACACCAGGTCTTTTTCAATGACCTATCATATGATACTAATATTCTTAATATTGAGCATGCCGTTCCCAAGATATTACCTAAGTAGATAGTTTTTGAACGTGTATAACTCCTTAATTAGAAGAGAGCAAAATAGTATTGCAGTATTAGTGTCAAAAGCAATATCCCGTTTAGGGTCGTTAAGGTGTTTCTATCGTTAGTGACTGTAAATAATTTTAAAAATAATCCATGGCTTAGTAATTTCAGATCTTTATAGATGGTTTAATTCCAAGTTATTTAAAAAATGTTTATGAAAGGTAATGTTTTTATTGATTAAAAACAATAAATAAATAAATTAATTTTTAATTATTTTATTTTTTTAGAAAGTAGTAGCTAATATTGTACCCCCTATTAAAATACTTCTAACCGAATTAAAATATAAAAAAGGGATCTGGTAAGTTATATATGTCTTATTTCATCACGCGGTTCCATTAAAAATGTCGATTATTTGCAGAAAATGTAAAAAATGGATCTGAACGTTTAAATTTCGGTGGGAAATGTATTGATCATAAGAGAATCCTATTTTTATTGCTTCCTAAAGTATAACAGGTAATTTCAATAAATACAAAAGTATGTATGTATATTAAATATTAATTATAACATTATTTTTGTTTACTTCGTTGAAGGATTAATGCGTTCCAAAATATAACTCTTACAATTTGATGGATTGATCATAAAATTTATGAAGAACTACAAAAAGAGTCCAACGTTTTACAATTTTTGGAAGTATACCAGTCAACAGTTGGAATATTAATACAGATTTCCTGAAAATTATCTTATTATAAGGTAATAATTCTAAATTGTGGATACATATGTACATTAAACCGACTCACTCTGTATGGAAAGCAAAAACGTGCTTTTGTTACCTCTCTCAAAATTTACCT